TATGGTACCGCCGGCAGGTCAATCTGTACCTGTGAGGCGAGTGCATCAGCAGCCTGATGGTGCCTTCAGACTTCCAGATACCCCAAAACTGCTGCTGTGCCTTTGGCCAGACCCCAACAACTTTGGGCCAAGTTTACTAAGAAAGTAAATGGCCAAAAGTTAAGTATGTGGGAGACATACCCACAAACCATCTCCGGCTCAGCTATATAATTGGTGGCAAGGACTCTCTGGTTGCTGATCAAACTGCCTAACGGCCATGATCCCAGAGACTCAGAAACAAATCTCGGAACCCAGCGGCTTTTGGCAGAGATGTGTATGGTCCCCACAGTAGGTTACCAGCGCCAGGCACCCCAAGGGGGAAAGGATGCTGTCCCTCTGCCTGCTCCCCCTTGGCGGCTCGGTGACTACCATCCTCCAGAGGCCATTGGACACTCAGGTTTGGGCCCACAGTGATAGACATGTGGGTCTCATGGGATGGGGGTAGAGCCGGCCTTTTCCTCCCCGCCCCAATGAGATCCTGGGTCGCCGCCCATGAATGACCTCTCTGGCTCCTGATCAAGCTGCTTAACGACCATGATCCCTGAGACTCAAGAACAAATCTCGGAACCCAGCAGGTTTTGACAGAAATCCCTCCAGATTTAATTATTAAAATTTCGAATTCCAAAATTGCATGGCTACTACTGCAGCCGTGCTACATCATATGTTATTCATAATCAGCAAACAAACAAACACTGTCCTCCCGTTGTTCATCAAATTGCTCAAGCGGGCCCAGTAACGTCTCCATTTTGAGACTTGTTGTTACTGTGTTTGGCATATTGAATACATCATGGGTAGCTTGCTAGGCTTTGCCATGCAGGCAAGATACTCTCGGTAGCTTGCTGGGTTCTCCGAGAGGGGCAGAGGAATCGAACTCGGTTCGGCCAGGCTGGCTGCGTGTAAGGCAAACACCCTACCTGCTGTGCTATTGCTCCAGCCCCACTGCTATCGCTCCAGCATAATCAGCAATAGAAAACAAATTATCTACAATTGCCTTTTCAGCAGATCTGAGTGTTGGGGCAAAATCCTAAATAATAATGGTGAGTCTGCTGTTGAAATATTGAATGTAATCAAAGTAGATAGAGAGTAATGTGGAAATCACCTGCCCCACAGGTAGGGGGAGGGTGTGGGATAGGGGATATACTGGGGGTTTTGGTGGTGGAAATAGGACACGGGTGAAGGGACGGCTGTTTCATCACTGTATGACCGAGACTTAAACCCAAAAGCTTTGTAACTGCTCTCATGATGATTCAATAAATAAATTTATAAAATGCAAAAAAAGTAAAGTGGAGTTCATGCCCAATTCAATCAGCCTAATCAATGGCTGAATAAATAGCAATAATACTACATTAAATTTTTTTAAAAAATACACATTTTGAGGTGAGGAGAGAGTATTAGTGGTTAGGGTACTTGCCTAGCACAAAGTACCATGTGGTCTCCTGAGCACAACCAAATATAAATCTGGAGGCCCCAGCACTGTCAGGGGGCCCAAGCAGAACAATATCCTCAGAACCCTGCACTAAACTACTGGCCCAGGTAATATAGTATTGCACGTGGGGTTCCCACAAGACTTCCTGAGCACTGCTCAGGAGTTTCCTGTGCCCCACCCCATACATACAACCAAAAATGTTTTATAAATACGTTTTTTAACATTTAAATTTGATAAAACTACATGCTTGACACTATGCTGGGAAATAAGTTGTCATCCATACCTAGCAAGGAGGTCCAACTAGTTCAATATCTTTAATGATCAATTTCTTGATAATAAAAAATACATTTACTCAACAATTTAACAATCTTCCCCAAGGCATGTCTCTCACTTTCCAAGGCATATACTCTTTTACATGTGTATCAGAGACACGTTCGAGGATATTCATCACACATTCACAAACACTAAAGGGAAGTCTAGGTAAACAGCAATATGAACTGGGCAAATAAATGACATGTTTGTAGTCACAGAACCTGGGCATCATTTAAAGGAATGAACTAAATCAATACAAGTCAACTTGGATTACCTTAAAAATAGAATGTTGTTTTAATTGGGTTTAACAAATGTATTTGAAATCTCTTATACAAGGGCTTAATGACTCCAGGATGAAATGCAACAACTTCACACACTTTTCTCTAAGGAAACTTCATTAGAACCTTTTTAGCAAATTATTCATAACAAGCAATACAAAATTAATTGTTCTATTCTGTTTTGGGAGGCACGGTTTGGGATTTGGGGTGGAAACATTCGAAGTAAGGTGGTGGGAAGGTGCAATGGTGGTAGGACTGGTGTTTGAATATTAAATGTAATGAATTATTGTGAACAACTTTATAATAAAATAAAATTTAGAAAAAATGAATGTTGAGGGGAGAAACAAGTTGTTCAACAGAAGCATTTCTAGAATGACATCACTTCTATAAAAGTAAAACCTGGACGAGTGCATCAGCAGCCTGATGGTGCTTTCAGGCTTCCTGATACCGCAAAACTGCCACCGTGCTTCTAACCAGACCCCAACAACTTGGGACCAAGTTTCCTGAGAAATTAAACAGCCAAAAGTTAGGTATGTGGGAGCCACGCCCACAAACCACCTCCAACTCAGCTATATAAGCTCATTTTTTGGCTTAGCTTCAGAGACCCATAAATAAATCTCAAAAGATATCAAAATCAGGCCATTAAAGTGCATTAACAGCCATGATTCAGAGATTCACAAATGAATCGCAGAGGAGAGTAGCATGCTACAGAGATGTCTCCCCACCCCAGGTCAGGCTGATTTCACCAGGGCACCTCGGAGGGGGACAGGTGTGTTCCACCTGCCCCAAATAAATGCTGGCAGCCACAAACGTCCAGAACATAATCACCACCACATTCACAGTTGACCTTTACAGGCTTGTCCCAAGCCTCACCACACATGAGAATGAATCTACTGAAAAACCCAGGTATGCTGAACCAGTGACTGAAAACTCTAGGCTTCACGGAGTTGGGGGTGGGCGACCTGCCCCGATTTCCCTGCTCTTCCGGTTTCCTGGCAATCATGCTCAGGATTGTGGCTGGGCAACATCTTATCTCATTCTTGCTTTGACAACCTGGCAGGCTACCAAGTGTAGCCTGCCCACGTGGCAGAGTCTGGCAAACTCCCCATGGCGTACCCAATATGCCAAATACCAGTAACAATGATGGGTCTCATTCTCCTAACCCTGAAAGAGCCTTGAATGTGGCACTTTTTATAATCTCAGGGCTAGGACAAAGGAGACGTTACTGGTGCCTGTTCGAGGCAATCAACAAACAACAGGATGATCATGATCGTGATCATGCCCACGAACTGCCTCTGGGCACCATTTAAGCACATTATGACCATTAATTCAGAGGCTAGCAAATGAGTCTCAGAAGACAGCAGCATGCCATAGAGATGCCTCCGGACCCCAAATGTTTAAAAAAGTTTAGAATTCCAGGAGTGTGCAGCCACTTTTGTAGCTGCATGACATCTCTTACTATTCATAACAAGCAATACAAAAATTATTTAGCATCTGCATACGAGACGGGTTTTGCTGGTAGTGGGAAAATTCAAAATAATGGTTGTGAGAAGGTACAATGGTGGTGAGATTGGTGCTGAAATACTGAATGTGACAAATTGTTGTGAACAACTTTATGAAAATAAAATTTAAAAAAAAATGAAAGTAAAACCCATTTCACAACACTCAGTATTATTTACGAAAAAATAATAGCACAGTAGCACTGTCCTCCTATTGCTCAATGATTTGCTCAAGCAGGCACCAGTAATGACTCCACTGTGAAACCTGTTGTTACTGTTTTTGGCATATTGAATACGCGACGGGGAGCTTGCCAGGCTCTGCCATGTGGGCGGGATACTCTCGGTAGCTTGCTGGTCTCCGAGAGGGATGGAGGAGTCAAACCTGGGTTGACGGAGTACAAGGCAAACACCCTACCCACTGTGCTATTGCTCCTATTTAATAAAAATGGGTGTGGTCGCAGCAATAGTACAATGGGGATGACGTTTGCCTTATATGTGGACAACCTGGGTTCAAATTCTGGCATCTCATATGGTCACCCAAGGACTGCCAGGAGTGATCCCTGAGTGCAGAACCAGGAGAAAGCCCTGAGTATTGCCAGATATGATCTCCAAACAAAAACAAAGGAAAACAATAAAAAGCGCTTATAATTACTTTGGGAAAATAAAAAAAAGAGAGTCAGAGCAGGGAAGAGTATGTGAGAGGCTAAAGCTTTATATTAATTTTATTTTTTTAATGAAAAAGGGTAGATGTAATTATTAAGGGCTATCAAATTATATTGAGTCTATCAAATTATATGGAGAGAACATAGACATCACTACTCTATATAAGTCTGAAATACTTTACCATTTTTTAAGCACATCATTTTTCTTTTGAAGCTTCCCATGAAAATACTTCATTAGTCATGAAAGTGTTCTATCTCACAAACACATCTTTTCATTAAAACCACCAATTGACTGTACCTTCCTTCATCTTTTACTAAAGTAACATTTTAAGCCACAGGCTTTAAATTGCTTAAGGATAAGAGATTAATGGTAGAGGAAATGTGAACAGCAGGAATATTCTAGAGGGAAAATAGCCAGGATTGAATAAAATAAAATAAAGTGCCATGAAAATCAAGAAGGGTCCAAATGCCATAAAACTTAAAAAAAGTTTTCAGAGGAAAGTCAAATTATAAAGTAATAATAATAATAATAATAATAATAATAATATCTTAACACTGAGTTAAAAACCAATGATGTCAAAAAAAAATTCAAAGATGCCACATAAAAAAAAAATAGGTATGGGAAAGTATGACTCAAATTTTCATTTGAGTCACTTAGAGAATATGATGGAAGAATCTGTTAACAATATGATTTATTACTAAGAATACAATAAGTATCAAAGTGTTCCCTTGGATATGAACATTTTCAACTGTTTGTGTTCTGAGAAGCTCCATAACAACATACCTGCAGAAGGAGCCTTTCAAAGGCCAGGAAGTTGTCCCACTTGGCAGTCTGCGGGTGCTGCAGAGTCTGAGCTGTGGCCAGTCCGAGCTGCAGGAGTCCACAGTGATTCACAAGCGCTTTGAAGTTGTTCTTGAAGAGCTGAATATAGGACATGAGCTGCCCTGGAGTTACTCTCCCTGGAGAAACATCGTAATTTGTCATTGTACCCTTTTCTGTTGAGAATAGTGCAGTTAGTTACCAGAAGCACTACTGAACTTCAGACACTCTCTGTGGATGTTCCTACAACATAGTAGCAGTAGCAAAGTTGAAACTATTATCTGAATTTTGCCAGGGGAAAAAAAAAGGTAATTCAACCAAAGTGCATTAGTAGGTTACATTTTATAATAATGTTCAATATCCTACAGGGGCTGGAGCGATAGCACAGCGGTAGGGCGTTTGCCTTGCACGCAGCCAACATGGCCGACCCGAGTTCGATTCCTCCGCCCCTCTCGGAGAGCCCGGCAAGCTACCGAGAGTATCTTGCCCGCACAGCAGGGCCTGGCAAGCTCCCCGTGACGTATTCGATATGCCAGACACAGTAACAACAAAGTCTCCAATGGAGACGTTACTGGGCCCGCTCCAGCAAATCGACGAACAATGGGAGGGCCTTTACCTTAATATCCTACAGAGACACCACACACACACACACACACACATACACACACACACACACACACACAAAGAATTACAGGCTGATAGATCTGATGAACGCAGATGCAAAGGTCCTCAACAAAATACTAGTAAAGAGAATCCAATGACCCATCAAAAGATTCAAAGAAATTCAAATGGCCAAAAGGCACATGAAAAAATACTCTAATAAATCACTAATCATTAGGGACATGCAAATCAAAACAATAATAATATATCATCTCACACCATAGAGACTGACACACACCCAAAAGAACAAGAGCAATCAGTGCTGGCATGAATTCGGGGAGAAAGAGATTCTCCTTCATTATTGGTGGGAATGCCAACTGATCCAGTCTTTTTGGAAAGCAATATGGGCATTCCTCAAAAAACTAGAAATCGCTGGCCGAGCAATACCACTTTTAGGAATATACCTCAGAGGCTCCAAAACGCAATGCTGAAACACCATCTGCACTCCTATGTTCATTGCAGCATTATTCACAATAGCCACAATAGCTACTATTCTCTGGAAACAACCTACGTGCCTGAGAACAGATGACTGAATAAACTATAGTACATCTACACAAGGAATCACTACACAGTAATTAGGAAAAATGAAGTCATGAAATTTGCTTATAAATGGGTGGACATGGAGAGTATCATGCTGAGTGAAATGAGATAGTATATATTTTATACTATACATGGATATAGAATGAAACCAGTATCCAGGGGGCAAAAAAAAAAAAAACCCAGAAGGAATAGTCAATGATTAGAAGATTAAAAAAAAATTCAATATCCCACAAATAAGTCCTTAAGGTCACACAGGTATCCTTCTTCCCTCCCTCCTTCCCTCCCTCCCTCCCTCCCTCCCTCCCTCCCTCCCTCCCTCCCTCCTTTTCTTTCTTTCTTCCTTTCTGCCAGTGCTGAATCAGGGTTTACTCCAGGCTCTGCAGTCAGGTGATGGTGGGGATCAAACCACAGATGTTTGCATGCAGCAGGGACTCTACCTGCTGTATTATCTCTCCAGCCACCCAGAGTACCTTTCCAAGTCAAGTGATATAGCAACTTAAGAGGCCAAAAGGCAAGATTTCTAATTGTGTATACTGAGAAAACAAGAGAAATTTGCTATGACCATAGCTTTTCACTGGTGGGGAGTGAAAGTTTTGTGCATGAAACTCGACCATTAACAGTATTATAAATCATGGTGCCTAAGATAAAATGAAGACTTGAAATAAATTCAATTCATTTCGATAAATGGAATCTTGTTGGCACTATCACAATCAAAATCTAGAGCATTTTCATCAAACCCAAAAGTTGCCCATCCTTGTAGTAGTTCCTTTGTCCAGCCCTTAATGAAAACTCATCTGTTTTTCTGATTTCTGATAACTTTTGAAATCCCAGAATGTCATCTAAATGGAGCCATACAGTAAACTATCCTTGTGAGTTTAGTTTATTTACCTCTAGGCTGGAGCGATAGCACAGCGTGTAGGGCCTTGCACGTGGCCGACCCAGGTTCAATTCCTCCATCCCTCTCGGAGAGCCCGGCAAGCTACTGAGAGTATCCCGCCCACACGGCTGAGCCTGGCAAGCTCCCTGTGGCCTATTCAATATGCCAAAAATAGTAACAAGTCTCACAACGGAGACGTTATTGGTGCCCACTTGAGCAAATCGATGAACAATGGGAGGACAGTGCTACAGTGCTACCTCTAGCCTAATATAGTTACTGATCCATGCTATTGCTTATATTTGTAGTTTGATGTCTTTTCTTGATGATTCAGATTCCTCTGAATGTACCATATTTCTTGATTTGGGGGGGAGCTCTCGGGTGGTGTTCTGAAGGTCTTGGGGCAGTTCCAAGTGATTCTTGGTTTTTTAATTCAATTTAATTTTTTTTAATGTAAGAGTTCTGCTATTTATTCAGCCACTAATTAAGCTGACTGAAGAAGTCATAAACTCCACCTTACTTTTCACTTTTTTAAGTTTTTGTTTAATATCTGTGAGATAGACCATTACAATGCTTTTCACGATTGAGTTTCAGTGATCATACAGTGATCCAACACCCATCCCTCCATCAGTGTACATTTCCCACCACAAATGTCCCCCATTTTCCTCCCACATTCCCCAACACCCCATTCTCCACCCTCAGTCTTAGCGATAGCACAGCGGTAGGGAGTTTGCCTTACACGCAGCCAGCATGGCCGATTCAAGTTCAATTCCTCCGCCCCTCTCGGAGAGCCCGGCAAGCTACCGACAGTATCTCGCCCGCACGGCAGAGCCTGGCAAGCTCCCCGTGACGTATTCGATATGCCAGACACAGTAACAACAAAGTCTCCAATGGAGACGTTACTGGGCCCGCTCGAGCAAATCGATGATCAACGGGAGGGCCTTTACTTTACTTTATGGTTTGTAATACAGGTACTAAGAGGTCATCGTGTTTGTTCACGGCATTCAGTATTTTTATCAGGATGGTAAGGCTGGAGTAGCTTTTTAACCAGGTGGCAGTTTTGGGGTGTAGATGTGACTGCCAAGGCTTCCAGAAGCACATAGTGGTGGGTGAAGGTAGCCCATCCCGGCCCTGAGACAGCCTAGAGATTTCAGTCACAAAACTCACATATTCAAATTTTCAGCAGATTATATCTCAGTCAGGTCTGACCTGAGCCTGTGGAGTCAGGCCAGGGGAACGGCAGCAATTTTGAACTGTGAAAGCAAATGGTTGCCAGGGGCTCTGCTTGGGCAGGCACCAGGCTGACCCACTCCCCTCTGATTTACCCTGGTCTGTTCAGCCTTGAGCGGTCTGAGATTAACTGTGGCCTTTGATTTCTTTTGAGATTTATTGATTTATTGATCTCTGAAGCAAGGCTGAAAAATGAGCTCATATAGCTGAGCTGGAGGTGGTTTGTGGGTGTGACTCCCACATACCTTTTTTTTTTTAATTTTTATTAGTGAAACACCATGAGGTACAGTTGTAGATTTACAAATTTTTGTGCTTGGGTTTCAGTTATACAATGATCAAGTACCCATCCCTCCACCAGTGCCCGTTTTCCACCACCATGGGTCCCAGTATCCCTCCCACCCCCCATTCCCCCAATCCCACCCCCATCCCACCCTGCCTCTGTGGCAGGGCATTCCCTTTTGTTCTCTCTCTCCTTTTGGGTGTTGTGTTTTGCAAAAGAGGCATTGTGTGGCATTCATGTTTGTTCTATAGTCTACTTTCAGCATGCTTCTCCCATCCTAGGAGGATCCTCCCAACACCCTTTATTTGGTGCTCCCTTCTCTATCTGAGCTTTGGTTCCAAGTTGTTGGGTGTAGAATAACATTGCCACACGGAGCTTAGGTTTATCGGGTTACACACATCACAGTGCTCGAGTCACTCCCATTCCTCTGTTTATCTGTAAACTCTTCTCTGTGCTCTCCTCCCCAGTCAGTTAATCACCTTTTCTCCCTAATCAGATTCTGTTAGCTTGTAAGATCAGATCCTTCTAAGGACACTGAACTTGTATTGTAAGTTATGTCCTTTGCATAGTTTACCTTAAAGCAATGTCCTTTCTGTATGGACACAGGAAGACAGTTAATATTATGTTTTGTAACTTGGGAGTTGATTGACTCCGAATAATATTTACTCCTGGGCATCTGTTTTCTTGACTCAGTTGCCCTTAGTTTCTAGCACCCCAAAAGCAGGGTCCCAACAAGGGACTGAATGGACCCAGGGCAAGCTGTGAGCTACCCTGGCATCGAAATGGGCCAGACCAAAGTGCCACAATACTCAACTATAAGTTGAGGGAACGATCATGGACAAATGCTGTCATGATCCAAAAGTAAGTAACAAGCAACAAGGAGACTAGGACCCTGCTGGGGCTAGGACAACTAACCTGGCCTGAGGATATATATATATCAGAATATATATGAGATGTTCTCAGGAAGAACCAAACTGTAAGTTTATCTCTTACTGTGCTCATACAGAATGACATTGCTAGAAATATTAGAAGTAGACTTACTACAACTATTTAAGTAGATTACTAGCTGAGGAAAGAATACACCCTTGTTGGGATCCCACCCTTGAGCAGATCTCCTAGTAATCTGGAATAAATCTCTTTAGGTGAGGTTTAATCCTTGAGTTAATCTCCTTGAGTTAAGGAGTGGTCTTACCTCTCTTTACTGATTTGTTAATGTTCAACCCACCTTTGTGTCACCACCCTACGTGATTGCTATATAAACTAAGACTGTAAACCCAAAGGGATTACAGAGAGCAGAGACTGAGACTCAAGCTGAGGCGTGGGCTCGGACTCAGGAGCTTGGGCTCCAGAAGCAGAATCAGAGGCGAGAGTGAAGATCGAAATAAACTACAATTGATACCGACCAGCCTGACCCTTGTTCACTGCTTTGCCTGCCCATCGCCATCAACCTCCCTGGGGTGGGGAAACGACTTGAGACTACCGAACGCAGGCGGCGGGAGAGATAGAGTGCCGCCGGACCTTCTGAAAACACACAGTTGGGGTCCAGCCATAGACAA